CATAATAGCAAGGAGACCAACTGTAGACACTAGAAGCAGTATAGGAGGATGTGGGTAGTAGGGAGTGAGAGGGAGAGGATCAGGGGGAAAATGAAACATTTAATAGCACAAAAATGAAAAGTTATCTGTTGATGATAATGTCTGTTAAAGACTTAGACTTGACTAATATGCACCATATTCACGTTGGGAAAACCATGTTGTTCACTGTGACAATGTATAGTTGTTAAATATAAATAAATAATGAGGAAAAATAAAAATTTTTTAAAAGTACATTGTAACAGTGAAAAAGAGAACCCAGAAAAGGCATACTCAGATCCTATGTATAATATATACTGGCTATAAGCCATACTCTCTATCAGCTTCAACTCTCTCACCTGAACAAAGTATAATTATTACATTTACCCCTCAGAGTTATAAAGATTAGACCATGTATACATAACTTATAATCACAAAAAAAAACTATACAAATATTAATTGTTGCTGTTATACTTAATCTTTTAAGTTGTTTGATTTGTTTTTGTTTTTGTTTTTGTTTTGCTTACTTTAGAGAAGGACTTTCATGGTACCAGCAGGTGGCACAGTGGTTAAGATGCTGTATTCCCATGTGGTGAACCATGGTTCAAGCCCCGGACCCAGCAGCTTGAAAATCATGCCAGTACATATGCATGCATGCACGCACAAAATCCTGCAAGGAGAATGGAGGAGATAAGATTTGGCATGGCCATCTCCCCTGGGTGGGAGTGATTTCTCACTTTCCCTCTCTCTGTCTCTCTCTGGCAAGTACACACACCTTTTGGCAAAAAAAACTAAAAAAAAAAGAAAAAGACTTTCATGTCATGTAAGTACCCATATGAAAAAGCCTGCTGAGGGCCAGCAGGTGGCAGAGAGGTTAAGGCTGATGAATCTCACATGGCAGTCTGCATAGTTCCAGTCCTGGCAGCTTAAAAAACAGACCAGGCCTGCAGGCTTAGGTGCCCAAAATCCCAAGAGGAGAATAGAGAAGGGATTGTGGTGTGGCCATTTCTCCCAGGATCTCTCTCTTTCTCTTTCTCCAGTGAGTGCACACACCCTAGCAAAAACAAAAACAAAAAAGCCTGCTTAAGTTCCAAAACAAGATGCCAAAGCCACAATTATAAACTTGTGAAAAGGCCCCCTATGAGTACCATTTTTTTTATCTCTATTGATCTATAAGTACATCAGACAGGAATGCTGTGAGACCAAGTTAAGACATTTAAAATACCACATATATGTTTCTAAAAGTTAATCACTCAGAAACTTGGCATATTTGAGTCAATAACAGAAAAAAAATAATAATTTGACTTAATTATAAAAATCTTTTAAAATGATCATGAACTGTTGAAGAAAAAGCTTTCCATGACTGTAAGTATTTAATATCCAACTAAAAAGGCTGTCTTTCAGTATCTGAGGGATATGTCATTACAATATTAAAAGAGAAACCACTGCTTCCAATGTAACGGAGTACTTAATGTGACTTTCTTGTAAACCATGTTAAAGTATAAGCTTATTGAGAACACAGATACCCTTGAACCTTCTTCAAATTAACTAGCACTCAGTAAATACTAAATTTTCATTGTTAGTATTTTACAATGCTTATGGTTTGTGTTTTTTTTTTTTTTTGCTTGTTTGTTTGTTTTGTTTTGTTTTGAGAGGTTTTTGCTATAGGGCGCGTGTGCTCGCCAGACAGTCAGAGAGACAGAGAGGGAGAAAGCAAGAAAGCACCCCTCAGGGGGGATGGCCACACCACAATCCCTTTTCCTCCATGCTCCTCTTAGGATCTTGGACACGCACGCACATGAACCCAGCATGAGTTTTAAGCCACCAGGTCCAGGAAGCGAACTGCGGTCGACTACATGGGAGTCCAGCAACATAGCCATTACACTAACTGCTGGTCTCTACTTATGATTTCTAAACTAAGACTGCAACCTCTGTGCTGAAAATTCTAGTTTATAGAAGAGACAGATTAAGCATATGTTTTAGGGCACCAACACCACCAAAACCAAAATAATAATAATAGAAACTTTTCTGGGGCCAGCAGGTGGCCTGGTAGTTATGTTGCTAGATCCCACATGGCCAACTCCAAGGTTCAAGTCTCAGACCTAGCAGTTTGAAGATCACACTGGGCACATGTGCATGCCCACCCAAAATCCGGAAGGGAGAATGGAGAAGGGATGGCTGTGTGACTATCCATAACCCCACCCCACAGGGTGATTTCTCACTTTTTCTCTCTGACTCTATCTCTCCTCAGTGAGCACACATACCCTATGAAAAATTAATAAAATAACTTCTCTAGAAGTATAGAATGTAATATTTCTTCAAAAGCATTGAAGTAGTCATTAGGAGAAAAACTTGGCTGGACTTTTTTCCTCTTATTTTTTATTTATATTATTTTTATTCCTATATGAGGTAAGAATGGTGGGATATCAAACTTTTTTTCAATGCTTAGGACCTCCAAAAATCTCAATTCAGCTCTATGTGCATTTTAGATGACCATAAACATTATTTACTTAGTTATCCAGCAAAAAGTATTTTATTTCATGAAAATTATAATACACATACACATATACTTTACATAGGTACAACTTAAAATTCTTCCTCATTACAGTGTTTTCTCTACACACACAAAGAAAAGCCATAATCAATGCTAGAAAATAATTCTCATAATTTGGACTAATGCCAGTTTTCTCTTACCAGCCAACGGTGTCATCCTATCATCACACTCTCCAGCTGTACTAAAAGATTACCAAGTTCCCAGAATAACCAAAAGTAAATTATTTATTACTGGTGGAACAAATGGTATCTGAAATGTTATATTTGAAATGTCTCTACATATCTACAAAAAAAGAGAGGGGTTAATTTATTGGGTTGTAATTCCCACTTGATTCACAAATCTAGTTACCTGAGAAGAGAGCTGGGTTCCCTCCCCTTCAATAATACAGTTAAAATACTGCCAGTTTTCCCAGCTTCAATTCTCTACCTACAGCCAATCTGTTGCGAGAAGATTATGCAGATGTTTCTGATGTATTTTGTTGCTAATACTCCCTGTATACTTCAAGGAGTTGGGTACAGATGTTGCTTGCGGATATGCTTGCCAGTGGCCGGTTCCAATTAGACCACTTGTCATTTTTTGCTTGGTTTCATTTTGACTACTGACACATCATGTAACTGTCTTAATCATTTGTAAGAGTATAAAAATATAGAAAGCCACACTTAATTTCACATAGCTAAAAGACGCAGAATTGAAAGTACAGAAAAATGGTGTGAGATGACTGAAATAAACGATTAGATAGGAGAGTATATCTTCACGTTGAAATACCACTGCCATCACCTCCCTCCCTAAAAAAGAATACATTAAGCTTTAAGTAGTGAGAGAACTTCTGCAACCAAGAAATAGCTTTGTTAGAAAACACTTCCCAAGACTTATTTTAAATTTGGCTTTAAAACTGCTTTTCTCCCATGACTCTGAAGGACTGTTTCACAGTATCCAGCCCCTGAAACATCCAGGTTTCAGAGTTCGTTAGGATTTCTTACCTATACTATGACTTAAGTTTTCATAAAACTGCTTCTGCAAAAGGCTTTTCTTATTAGAGAGCTCTATGCTTACTGTAGTCCCGGTCTCTCCCCTCACCCACGGCCACCTCCGCCCACCGCGGGGTCGGCGTGGATCTGGCAGGTGCGAGGCCAAAGCCCGGGCTGAGCGCTGGAGGCCGAGTTTACACAGCGCGCGCGCTCCAAAGAGGAGGCGGCAGCCGCAGGCCTGGCCGCCCG